CTGGGGATAGTTTTCTGCTTCGAAACCAGTCAATGCAGTTAAAGATAGCAATAAATCCATTTCCTGCCAATCCTGTGAGGGTCACAACCACCAGAAGCATGAAACAGAACAATTCAATTAAAGTAGGCATCTTTCTGAGCGCGAAGGAGGATGTCAACTCTGTTGTAATGTGTAATATTTGCACCATCTGCTGCCACCACCGCACTTTATGTACATGAGTTGTGTGGAGCACAGGAGCTCTGCCTTTTATCTAGAACAGAAAAGGTTTTAGAGAGCTGAGGAGTTATTTTCATTTGTTGATTGATTCTGTTCTGATGCAAATCAACCATGGAAGGATTCTGTTACTAAATCGATATTGCCTCTTCTGATGTCATATGTGCAAATTCCACAGACATTTTGATTATTGTATTATAATCTGGTTTAACAAAGTGATATATATATAGAGAGAGAGAGAGAGAAGATTTGTTGATTTTGATTAATCTTTGTCCACCAACATTGCTATTATTCTTATTAATAAATTTGAAAACATATGTCTTTATCAGATGGGTATTTGTTCTAATTAGTTGGGTAATAGAAGTGGACCAAACTGCGGGAGGCAGTGGAAGACAGGAGTGCCAGACGTGCTCTGGTCCATGGAGTCACGAAGAGTCGAACACGACTAAACGACCAAACAACAACAACAACAATTGAAGTGGGGTGTTAGAGAAATTAATAATAATAATAATAATAATAAAATAATAATAATAATAATAATAATAATAATAATAATAATAATAAAAATAATAATATTTTTTTATTTATATCCCGCCCTCACCAGCCAAAGCCGGGCTCAGAGCAGCTAACAACAGTAAAAGTAATACAGCATTCTAAAATCAATTCATTCGAAAATTAATCCAAAATCAAATTAATGGCAACCATTGGGTTCTGTGAGGATTACCAAAGAAGGGGGTCAGGCTGTGCCTTGGCCAAAGGCCTGGTGGAGCAGCTCTGTCTTGCAGGCCCTGCGGAAAGATGTCAAGTCCCGATGGGCCCTGGTCTCTTGTGACAGTGTTCCACCAGATCAGAGCCACAGCTGAAAAAGCCCTGGCTCTGGGTGAGGCTAGCCTAACCTCTCTGTGGCCTGGGACCTCCAAGATGTTTTTATTTGAAGACCATAAGGTCCTCCGTGGGACATATCAGGAGAGGCGGTCCCGTAGAGCTATTATGCAGACAATAGATTGGCATTCCATAAAAAGGCAGAAGTTAGAAGAATTAAAAACCAGGAAGCTGATTGTGTACATTCAAATATTATGTGTATACATAATATTTAGTTAACGAAATTAAAACAGTTTCTCCAGGTTTTCTGTTTCTATAGAGAAATTTTGCAACTCAGTCAGATGGGAGGCATATAAAAATGTTGTTGTTCATGTTGTCCGCCCAAATGACTTTTCCCTCCTACTCCCTGCACCTGCTCCCTGACCTGAATTGTGATGCGTCTGTTGCTGTGTGGCACAGCCCGGCCACCAGCCTAGGGGGAGATGTCTCAGCTTCTACCTTTCGGCGTGGGATTCAAACCACGTTAACCGAAGAGAATGGTAACATGTGGACAGCCAGATCTGGAGCTGTCAGTCTTCTTTATACAAATCCCTTGCCTGCAGCCTCCTTTTTTCAGAACAATACTTACACTTTCCGTAGTCATTCTCTGCTGCCTACCTTCATAATGTGTACAACATTATTGCAACAGGGTGCTCACCCCCCACGCAGGAGGGAGGAAGAACCCAGAACATTGGTATGCAAGTTCTTATATAGACTTTTGAAATTGGCTACCCTGTAGCTCAAGACCACACCCCAAAACATCATACATACATCACAGAAAGTGGTGGTCCAAAGACAATTGGAAAGCTTTTCCCATTTCCTTCCTCCTTGCAGAGAAATATTTGAGGTCAATTTGGGAGAGTCAAAATGGCTTCAGGATTGTTCTCCTGTACTATTTCCTCCAAGTGCTTTATATACTTATGTATGTGTTTGCCTTGTACATTTATGAACATTTATTTTATATATATAAGACCTTAGAATTCATATAACAGATTCAAACACCAGTGGTGGGAGTGCACTAGAATTAGAGCTGGAGAAAATGGTAATGTGTACACAGCCTGACTCAAAACTCTGGGGCTTTTGTTATTTATACCGATCCCTTGCTTGCAGCACCTGCTTTTCTTTTCTTTCTTTCTTTTTGATAATAATTTTTATTAGTTTTCAAGTACAGTCCAATAATAGCCTTATTATAACAATGCCAAATTATAATACGATTACTAGTACCAATCATTCAAATACCGAATTATATAATTTAGGTGGCCTACTGCATGTAATAACAAATAAATAAATAAATAAATAAATAAATAAATAAATAAATAAATAAATAAATAAATAAATAAATTTATATCCCGCCCTCCCCAGCAGAAGCCAGGCTCAGGGCGGCTAACAACAAGAATTGATGGTTTGATGATTTTCTTTATTTCTGCATTCCAAAATCTTATTAATTTCAATTACATTCCAATCAAAATTATAATCCCATATATAATAACTGCATTATTAATTTCTTCTCATGTTGAAACATTAAATGATTTATGAAACTACAAGTGAGGCACTCAAACTATATCCTTGTTCTTCCTGTATGTGACAATTATTCTGTCCGTGATGTTTCTTCCTGTCCATGTAAAATGTTATGTCTCTCTTTTCCTGATTGTTCTCCCTCATGCCTTTGGTGTAGCTAATATCCCATTGTTGTTTCAGAAATTTCTCCATTGCTCCGTCCCATTCTTCGTTGTTGTGCAACTTTGATAACAGCTGCAAAAATCACACTGTCCCAGTAATGAACCTTATCAGTTCCTTGGCAAGTTTGCAGATTCCTTTCATCCTTCCGTCCGGCTGGAGATAACTGAGCAGTTGTACTTCGAATTATATTGAATTCCAAGTCTTGTAACATTATTCAGTTCAGTCCGTAAATAATAAAGGATGGGGAAGAGTCAGCTGTAAGCTTCCATCATAAACATAGAGCTTCCCTTCCTTTTTCCTTGTTTTTTTTTACACACACAGTTCCATTTAATGTTATAGTCCATATCTACAATCCAGTTTCATCCCTCCTCACTTGCACATATACAATCTGAACTAGCATTCAAGGGAGGGTTGCCAAATCATAAACGTAGTGAAGAAAACTTCATATAAAGAAGCCATAGGCTCCCCTCCCCGAACCGCCTTTTGTACTGAATGACGTCTTCTCTCAAGTTCAGACCTTAAAGACCTTGCAGCTGGTTCAGTTCCGCAGTTTATGAGCTCATCTCTTCTCGAATGTGCATGTACATTAGTCCAAATTAAGCTCTAATTAACAGGAGAACCTGTTTCTTAATGGTGGCGTAGGAGGGTTAACGGCAGGCAAAGTGCTTTTGCACTCAGTGCCTCTGTGTCTCCCACAATCCATGCTGGAGTGAGAGCCAGGTACCAAGACAAGCCAAGTACCGTGACAAGCCCGTTCCCCCGTCTCTTGTTTTCAGCCATTAAGAAAAAAACAACATCTTCAGAGCTCTGATTAACCATATACCAGCCACCTCACAATGTTGTGTAAATAATGTGGAGGAAGTTAATATGGATATCTGAAAGTAAAGCACAGAACTAAGAAGGAACCTACATTGGTAGAACACTTGCTTTTCAGTTTTGACATGATAGTGCATTCATTTATTCAATATTTCATTCAGTATTTTAGTTGATGTAGCATCTTTATTGATTCCTGTTTCAGTTTGGGATTCATGAAGATCAGGATAATGGCATGACCAGAGGAATATGCGGCAATCACATTAAAAAGAATTAAATGCACCCCCTTGTCGTTAATGCCCTTCCAAAACAAAACTATTGACAAGATTTCCACAAAAACGTTAGTTACATAGAGAACGGAGAAAGAAGCCAGAGCTTTGATGGCATTCAGGTGAGCTTCTGTGCTGACATCCCTTGCGCTGTTTTGTAACAGATTTTTGTGCCTCCACAGAGAAGTTAGTAATAAAATGGATGAGAAATTATTTACACAGCATTGTGAGGTGGATGGTATACGATTATTGGATTCTGCAAAGATAAAAGGGTGTCATCTGCAAACATACTTTGTGTACCTCATTCTGCACAATAATACCCTGTGATACATTTATCGCTGCCACTTAAGTGGTTGAAGGACTGTAAATGGATTTTGCAAAGATAAGAGGGTGTCATCTGCAAACATACTTTGTGTACCTCATTCTGCACAATAACACCGTCTGTAGATGCATCTTTGCATAGTTGGATGCCTAGTACCTCCATGAACAATGCAAACAGCAATGGCAACAGAGGGCAGCTCTGCTGGGTGTCCCTTAAGAGGTCAAAACCTGAGCGTCAAATCCACTGATTGCTTAAAGAGGGGCAAGTACTACAAAAACAATGAATCAATTCTAAAAAATAATTCTTTTATTGGCCTGCACAATTGAACACCCTGTTTTATTTCTCTGACCAATTAGAACCACGTTCCTCACTAACAAAATAAATTTATGAAATAAATTTGATAGACATCTCTGTTTTCAGATGGATGAAAAATAATAATACTGGTGAACGAACATTAATCAACATAAACAAATCCTAAAAGAATCTTGTATCACTGTTTGTTAAGCCAGATGCAAAGATGATATTTAGCACCACTGTCAAGTTTGCAAATATGACAGCAGAATATATGATATAGATTTAGTAATGGAATCTTTCCAGATGTGATTTGCATCCGAACAAAATCAACAAATGAAAATAGCTCGCTCCCCTCCCTGCAAGTTTCTCTATTCTGGAAAGTAGGCAGAAGTATTCTGCTCCCCACTGGTCATATAAAGAGCAGCATCAGCCTGTGCTAATATTACACATTACACTGGAAGAAACGCTTCAATTTCATGCTTAGAAAGATGCCTACTTTATTTGAATTGTTTGGCTTCTTTCTTCTGGTGATTGAAACCCTCATAGGAATGGTGGGAAATGGATTCATTGCGATCGTTAACTGCATTGACTGGTTTAGAAGCCGAAAACTATCCCCAGCTGACATGATCCTGAGTTGTCTTAGCTTGTTCAGATTTGCATTTCATGCTGTTCTGATGCAGGCTGCAATATTCAAACTCTTTTTCATGGACTCTTTTCTGATGCCGAAGATAAAAATTTCATCTGATTCCTCATGGCTGTTTCTAAATATGGCTTGCCTTTGGTTTGCCGCTTGGCTCAGTGTTTTGTACTGTGTAAAAATTGCTAACTTCTCCCACCCTCTCTTCCTGTAAATGAAGCGGAGATTCCCTGGACTGGTGCCTTGGCTGCTTCTGGGGACTGTGGTCTTCTCTGCAATCACCACCACTGTAGCAATAACAGGCAGTATCATTTTGTCTAAATGTAATCCATTTGAATCACATCTAAACAATAACAATGACTCAGCAATTGACACGACCAGTTCCTGTAAGTTTCTTAGCCTACTATATTTTTTTCCGAATTTCCTTCCTTTCATTATATTTTTGATCTCATCCATTTTATTACTAACTTCTCTGTGGAGGCACAAAAATCTGTTACAAAACAGCGCAAGGGATGTCAGCACAGAAGCTCACCTGAATGCCATCAAAGCCCTGGCTTCTTTCTCCATTCTCTACGTAACTAACGTTTTTGTGGAAATCTTGTCAATAGTTTTCATTTGGATGGGCATTAACAACAATGGGGTGCATTTAATTCTTCTTAATGTGTTTGCTGCATATTCCTCTGGGCATGCTCTTATCCTGATCTTCATGAGTCCCAAACTGAAACAGGAATCAATCAATATGCTACATCAACTAAAATGCTGAATGAAGCATTGAATGAATGAATGAATTTTTTTTTATAATAATATTTATTGAAAGTTTTAAACAGTTAATAGACAAAAATAAACAGTTAATAGACAAAAATAAACATACAGAATAAAAAGACAAAGCATAAGATAAAGAAATAGAAAAAAGAAAAATAACATCCCCTGTTTCATAACAGATTTTCATAACTTTTTGGACCTCCTCACATCTCCCGTACCTGCGTTCCCTTATAAATTTATAAACAGCAATTTATCGAATGAATGAATGAATTTATTGTGTTTGTGAGGGACGTTGTTCTAATCGGTCAGAGAAATAAAGCAAGGTGTTTACTTGTGCAGGCCAATAGAAGATTTTTTAAAAAGAATTGATTCATTGTTTTCTATGTTCTTGCCCCTCTTTAAGCAATCAATGGATTTGACGTTCAGGTTTTGACGTCTTAAGGGACACCCAGCAGAGCTGCCCTCTGTTGCCATTGCTGTTTGCATTGTTCATGAGGGTACTAGGCATCGAACTATACAAAGACGCCTTCTACAGAGGGTGTCATTCTGCAGAATGAGGTACACAAAATGAGTATGTTTGCAGATGGCACCCCTTTATCTTTGCAAAATCCAATAACAGCCTTTAGCCACCTAAGCGGCAATTAGAAATGTATCACAGGGTAGCAGGATTGCAAATCAGCTACTCTAAATCTGAGCTCCTGCCTATCAATTTAGAAACACTACAAGAGGCTGGTTACTAGCTAACTCTCCATTTCCCATAGCACATGGAGGATTTAAGTAGTTAGGTATAAACCTCACTGCAGGTAAAAGGTAAAGGACCAATGGACAGTTAAGTCCAGTCAAAGGCCACTATGGGGTTTCAGCACTCATCTCACTTTCAGGCAGAAGGAGCCAGCGTTTGTCCACAGACAGCTTCCTGGGTCATGTGGCCAGCAGGACTAAACCACTTCTGCGCAATGGAACACAGTGACGGAAACCAGAGAACATGGAAGTGCCATTTACCTTCTCGCCACAGCGGTATTAATATTATTATTTATTTTGTTTGTATATCCATCCCTGAAGGTCTCAGGGCGGTTCTCATTAAAAACCACTTACATAAAATCAAAACCAAAACCAGATTACTATCTCCCCCCAGGAAAGAGCCAACATTTAAAAAAGGGCATAGGATGTCAGGTCAGGCAAAGGCCGGGTTGAAGAGGAATGTTTTTGCCTGGCGCCTAAAGATGTATAGTGAAGGCACCCACCAGGCAAACGTCCCTGGGGAGGGCATTCCACAGACGGGGAGCCACTGAAGAGAAGGCCTGTTCTCGTGCTGCCACCATCCTGACCTCTCGAGGAGGAGGCACAAGGAGAAGGGCCTCAGAAGATGACCTCAGGGTCCAGGTAGCTTCATATAGGAAGAGGCGGTCCTTAAAGTATTGTGGTCCTGAGCCTAAGGCATTATAGGTCAAAACCAGCACTTTGAATTGGGCCTGGAAACTAATTGGTAGCCATTGCAGTTGGACCAGGATCGGTGTAATATGCTCAAATTGTCTAGTTCTGGTGAGCAATCTGGCTGCTGAGTTCTGCACCAGCTGAAGTTTCCGAACCGTCTTCAGAGGCCACCCTACGTATAATGTATTGCAGTAATCTAACCTTGAGGTTACCAGAGCATAGGCAACAATAATTAGATGATCCCTGTCCAGATAGGGGTGTAGCTGGGCCACCAGCCGAAGCTGATGGAAGGCACTCTGGGCCACTGAGGCTACCTGGGCCTCAAGCGACAGCAAAGGATCCAGGAGTACACCCAAGCTACAAACCTGCTCCTTTAGGGGCAGCGTAACCCCATCAAGAGCAGGTGACCTCCCAACCATCCTGTCTGAGGAAGCACCCATGAACAGTGCCTCAGTCTTATCTGGATTGAACTCTAGTTTGTTGGCTCTCATCCAGTCCATTACTGAGGCAAGACATTGGTCCTGCACTTCCACCGCCTCACCTGCAGATGTGAAGGAGAAATAGAGCTGAGTGTCATCAGCATACTGCTGATGACATACTCCTAACCTCCGCATAATCCCATCCAGCACTTTCATATAGATGTTAAACAACATGGAGGATAGAATTGAGCCCTGCGGAACCCCATATTGAAGGTACCCATTTATGTACTTGCACTGCTGTTCTTTTGAACTGTTAGGTTGGCAGGAGCTGGGACAGAGCAACGGGAGCTCACCCCGTTGCAGGGATTTGAACCGCCACCTTCTGATCAGCAAGCCCAAGGGGCTCAGTGGTTTAGACCACAGTGCCACCCGCGTTCCTGCCTCACTGCAGACACGGCTTCCAGTTCTGGCTGCCTTAATGGAGACAGCTCCCATGACAACAGGAGATTGTTGGCGAAGGAAAAAACCAAGGATGATTGAGGGTAATTATCCTTGCAAGTTCCCCCCAGGATGATTGAGGGTAATTATCCTTCACTTGCAGATCGTCTCGATACCTGATTTTCGCTCCAATATGGAATGCGGGAGGCAGGGAGGCACTGAGTGCAAAAGCACTTTGCCTGTTGGTAACCCTCCTTTGCCACCATTAAGAAGCAGAGGTTCTTCTGCTCATTAAAAGTTTAATTAGGATAAATGTATAGATGCATGCTGAAATTGAAACAGCTGCAATTGAAACTGCAGAATTGAAACAGCTGCAAGGTTGTTAAGATTTGAATGAGAAAGAAGACTTCATTTGGTGCAAAAGACGGTATGGGGCGGGGGAGCCTAAAAATGGATTCTTTATATTTTTTCTATTTACATAACTGACTCAGCAAACTCCCTAGAAGCCAAATTAACATTTTAAAGCAACAAGCAGAGTGGGAGGGAACTAGATTATAGATATGGTTTACAAATAATAAAAAAATGAACTGTGTGTATGGAATATAAAACAAAGAGAATAATTTTAAATGGATGTGGAATTAATAAGCTGGTCTGAGTCAATTATTACTTGGGAGAAGAAAAAGGGGTTGTTATCTTGGACGGCAGGACAAGATGGGAGTTTGGAGACATGGTAAGGCTTTGGCAAGGCTGGACGGACAAAGGAAGAGAAATTGGATACCTGCCAGGACTTTGTCGGGGTGCCAGTTAACTCTTTCCCTAGGCTGATGTATTTATATTGCAATTACAACTGCAAATCAACATCAGATAGAAATGAGATCAAAAGCATCATTTACAACAGCAAAAATGATCAATTGGTTAGGGAGGAGAACAATATTTAACATGTCAAGTGCAGGCAAAAGGAGAATCTGTTGGCGGGAAGACAAATGCCCTCTTCATAGCCATGCATGAGTCTTTGGAGGTTTGTATAATACACTACTACAGAATTCAAGGGCATACCCAGCGGAAAGTTCTTCTGTGCAACCATCCTTGCGATAGCTGGGCATTTTTGTGCAGGAGAACCTCTCCTAGGTTGTGTCCTCAGAGCATGTGGGCACTTGCAAACCCAGGGACAGACAATATTGTACAATATTCTCCTATGCAAACCACTCTGCAGTGGTTGGGCAGTCTTGTGCAGGAGAACTTCTTCTAGGCGGTTCTCAGACAGAAGATTTTGTACCTGCAAAAGTGGATGACACTTCCATGATGACTTGATAGCCTTTAAGATGGTGTCTTCATGCAGCTTTTTAGCTGATGTAGAATCCTTACTGATTCCTGTTTTAGTCTGGGATTAATGAAGATCAGGATAATGGCATGGCCAGAGGAATATGCAGCAATCACATTAAAAAAAAATATTCTTACCCAAAGGTCCACAGTGTCCATCCAGGACAGGACAGCATTCAAAATTTCCACAAAAAAGCTAGATACGTAGAGGATGCAGAAAGAAGCCAGAGCTTTGATGGCATTCAGGTGAGCTTCTGTGCTGACATCCTTTGCAGTGTTTCGTAGAAGATTTTTGTGCCTCCACAGAGAAGTTAGTAGTAAGATGGATGAGAACAAAAATATCATGAAGGGAAATAAATCTGGAACAACATATAGAAAGATGGAATACTTGCAAAAGTCAGATGTCTTAATTCCTGAGTCAGTGTTATTGCCGAGAAGTGATTCATATGAACTACATTCAGATATGAGTGTGATGTCCATTGTTGCTACAATGGTGGCGAGTGCCGAATAGACCAAAGTCCCCAGAAGCAGCCAAGGCACCAGCCCAGGGAATCTCCGCTTCATTTGCAGGAAGAGAGAGTGGGAGAAGTTAGTAATTTTTACACAGTACAAAATACTGAGCAAAGCGGCAAAACAAAGTTCAGCAGTATTAACAAATAGCCATGAGGTATCATATGCAATGCTTAGGTCCCTCTTCTGAAAAGTGTCCTCAAAAAAGAGGATAAAAATTGCAGTCTGTATCACAATGGCAAGAAATGCAAATCTGAACAAGCTAAGACAACTCAGGATCATGTCAGCTGGGGATAGTTTTCTGCTTCGAAACCAGTCAATGCAGTTCACAATAGCAATGAATCCATTTCCTGCCAATCCTGTGAGGGTCACAACCACCAGAAGAATGAAGCCGAACAATTCAGATAAAGTAGGCATCTTTCTGAGTGTGAAGGAGAATGTCAACTCTGTTGTAATGTGTAATATTTGCACCATCTGCTGCTGCCACCACACTGTATGTATTTGAGTTGTGTGGAGGACAATACCTCTGCCTTCTATCTAGGACAGAAAAGGTTTTAGAGAGCTGAGGAGTTATTTTCATTTGTTGATTCTGTTCAGATGCAAATCAACCCTGGAAGGATTCTATTACTAAATCGATATTGCCTCTTCTGATGTCATGTGTGCAAATTCCATAGACATGCTGATTATCATATTTGAATCTGGCTACACACACACACACACACACACACACACACACTTTGCTGATTTTGATTAATCTTTGTCCACCAGTATTACTATTATTATTATTAATCAATTTGAAAACATATGTCTTTATCAAATGGGTATTTGTTCTAATTAGCTGGATAATTAAAGTGGGATGTTACATTATGTAGACCAATAGAGTGGTATTCCATAAAAAGGCAGAAGCTAGAAGAATTAAAAACCCCGAAACTGAATGTGTACATTCAACATAATATATGGTTAATGAAATTAAAATACTTTATCCAGGTTTTCTGCTTTTATAGAGAAATCTTGCAACCCAGTCAGATGGGAGGCATATAAAAATTGTTGTTGCTGTTGTTGTTATAATATATTTATATCCTGCCCATCTGGCTGGGTTACCTGGGCAGCTTCCAACAAAATATTAAAATACGATAGTCCTTCAGATATTAAAAGCTTCCCTAAACAGGGAACAACAATTGTTGTCCAAAATGACTTTCCCCTTCCATTCCATGCACCTGCTCCCTGACCTGAATTGTGATGCACCTGTTGCAGTGTGGCACAGCCCAGCCACCATCCTTGGGCACCCAACGGCTGGGGGAGATGTCTCAGCCTCTACCTTTGGTCGTGGGATTCAAACTACATTAACCAGAGTGAATGCTAACGTATGGGCAGCCAGATTCGGAACTGTCAGTCTATTGTTCTATATACAAACCCCTAGCCTGCAGCGTCCTCTTTTCAGAACAGTATTTGCATGTGAAGACCCGCAGGAGCCACCTCAATAAATAAATTCACACATGACATGGAATTTAGTTTTAGGTTATTGGCATAATTTTAAAGTTTATTGCCACAACTTTATTGATTACAGAAAGTGAGTGGTTTGTTTAGGCATTTGTTCGACTAGGCTGGCAGAGTTGGTGAAGATTTCAACTTCCTCAACCAGAGCACCATCTTTGCACTCCTGAGTTGCCCTGAACCAGGCCCCTATGTGAACTGGCCCTGCGGTCCCAGGCCCATTTCGGGAGGCCAGGAATGGCTTTTCCAAAGCCCCATTAGAAATTCATGGAGGCTTCCTCCTCCTCCTCAGTGCTCAAGGAAGACGAACCTGTGGAAGAAGAGGGGTCTCCATCTCGATACCTCCTGACACGCTTTTTTAATGCTTCCTCCGGTGATGCTTCCCCACACTGGAAGGCTGCTTCGAAATCGTCAAACTGTCTTCCTCAGAGGAAGCCACAGGGGGTGCCTGGACAGAAGATCCAGCCATCGTTTGCAAAGAACTATAAGAGCGTGAGTGACTGATTGGCCCTGGCCCAGCAGAATTCCCAGCCTCCGAAGACCTGGATTGGGAGACAGATACAGGAGGGCAACTCAGACCCCTCATCCCACTGCTGTCTGGGGACATCCAGGCTCCTAAGGCGCCCACATAAAGCGGAGGCACAAGAATACGTGAAAATTGAGACTCATTAAATAGAGCACTGGATGGTGGAAATCCCTCCCCTTCCTCACTGGAATCAGAAGGACCATAGGCCTAAAGGACCATAGATGAGGAAGGCCCTTGGTAAGAATCACCAGCAGAACTAAAACGCTGCAGTAGGTCATCAAATTCTGCATAAAAACATGACAAGGCCCGAGGGTCCCCAGCCAAGCACGACATAATGGACTCTAGTTGGCTAGACACCTGGCCAGGTGGTAAGGATGACCGATCCGATCTCAAGGATTTCAAAGGCCCTCTAATGGCTCTTTTAGGAGGCAAGGCAACATCAGCGGACACTGAAATCCTCTTAGGAGGCATTAAGCTTAAGCAATTGAGGAGGGGCTGGTAGTAAGGCAATGAAGCTAAAATTCCAAGGCCCCAAGATGGCGACTGCTGCCTAAAGGGGATTCAAAATGGCACTTGAGCCAAAACTAGAAGCACACAAAATGGCATCTGTCACTCTCAAGCAATCCAATATGGTGCCCCCACCAAAATCAGGGGTTCCCACAAATGGTATCTGCCGCTTTGTGCAAGAAATAGGCGTTCCAATTAAAGTTAAGGCACTAAACAGGCAACCCCCACCTCCTCAGAGGACAGGTAAAATAAATGCATGCACCCAGAAAAATGCTCCTGGGCTAACAAAGAACGTCCATTAACAATCAGGCCAGCCAAATCCTCCTGAGAAGGGAAAGCCCCCCCCCCCAAACCACGTGTTGCCAAGGAAAACGAGCTGGGTGCAGCCCTCCTAAAAGGGGAATTAAAACAATGGGCTCCCAGCCACAGAAAACAGGAGCAATCTGTGCTGGAGGGGCAAGGCAACAGGCGATCCCAGGGAGGCTCTAAAATGGGGGAGAATTAAGAAATAGGGGAGAGGGAAGGGGGAAGGGGGGAGAAAGAGGATTAAAGGGGGAGGCAGAAAAGAGGGCAAAGGGCAAAGAAAGCCTCTAAGCTAAGAACAGGGGTAATAAAAGGAAAATATTCAACCAGTTTTTAAGAACTCTTTCTCTCTCGCTGAGCTCCATCTCAGGTCTGGTGCACAAAGTGAAAAGAGGAAGCTCAATGCAAAGTGCAGCGGTATATAAAAGATCCCCAGTTAATTCAGAGAAATCCCATTGGCCAGATCTGCTTAGCAACCTGGGACTTCCAATTGGGTCATTGTGGCTGCCCAATCATTCCCAACCACAACGGTGAGGTCAGTCCTGATGATCTCACCACAATATGTGCCCTCTGGGAGGAGGACCCGATTTACACATTCCTTAGTCATTCTCTGCTACCTACCTGCAAACTGTATACAAAAGGGATACTTCTATGAAAGTAACATCCAGCATTCTAACTGCTTCAATGGGTTTAGCAGATCCCACTCTTAAAAATCAAAGGAGATCATCTAGCACAACCTCAACCCCTTAAGAATATAACCAGGGCAGGATTGAAGACAACCAAGACAACACCTGGAAAGATTCTTTTACTAAATCAATATCATGTGTTCCGATGTCATAGTTGCAACTGTTGGGATTCGCAGGATGATGAGTAGGTTTGCAGGCTTCAACAGGCTGATGCAATACTCTGTGAAGTGCTGGGCCAGAGTGACTCAGCAGGAATGTGATTGGCTATCGCCTGTTTTAAAAGGAAAGCCTGTTCAACAGTAATTGTGGTTGTGCTGCAGTGTGGTGGTGCTGTGGTGGAGAATATTCTTTTGCCTTAAGGTGCAGGTACTCTGTATGAACTGCTTTTGTAAATACTTGTATATAGCTCACATTAAAAAGACTGTGACAGGGTTATGGGCCCAGCACGCTTCCGCTGTGGTGGAGTACAGGTGGCAGTTATCTAGCCGTGGGTGCTGGAGGTGAGCTGCAGGGATGGAGCAGTCCAGAACTGGCATGTTGCTGGAGAAGCTGACGGCCACGAACTACAGCATCTGGCCGGTCCGCATGCAACACTTCCTCAAGCGTGAGGGCCTGTGGAAGGTGGTGGAAACTCCACCACAGCCCCCTGAGGAGGATGAGGACAACGATGAAAAGCTGGCACTAGCAGAGGCCCAGCTAGAAAAGGATGAGAAAGCTTTGGCTACAATCATTCTTGGAGTGGACGACAGCCAGCTAGTCTATGTAGCTGATAAGGTGACGGCAAGTGAGGCGTGGAATGCGCTCAAGGCTGTCCATGTGCGAGAGACAGCTGGCTCACTGATAACACTGACCAGGAGACTGTACCAGTATCGGAAGAAACCGGGGGACTCCCTGGTGAACCACCTAAAATTCCTAACAGGCTGTTTCCAGGAGCTAGCCTTAAGAGGGAGGCCTGTGGGGGAAGAGTGTGGTTGTGCTGTAGTGTGGTAGTGCTGTGGTGGAGAATATTCGTTTGCCTTAAGGTGCAGGTACTCTGTATGAACTGCTTTTGTAAATACTTGTATATAGCTCACATTAAAAAGACTGTGACAGCAACATCCACATAGGTGCTAAATATCGTCTGTGTTTTGTTCCATTCTTGTTGGGGGTGGTGGTGTATGGATTTCAGAAGGTGGCCTTGGAGGTCCTTGCCCTATAGCATCATCTAGGGATGTGAAGTTTCATGTTACCTATGACAGCACAGGCAGTAGCCTGCACCATGAGAGACAGGATAGGGGAGAAAAATCACTTACACCCTTCTTGGGGAGGTTAATGGTTGTGACCTGGCATGGCTTCTTGGGTTTGGGGAGTGGAAAGGTGTGGGAATGTTCAAGGAAGCAGGAGAGGATATATTGATCAATTATATCCTTCCCAACTTGTGTTAACAAGTTCTATAATTTAGCAGAGTAACATTCCCCCATTTTAAACCTGCACAGCGGATAATGTATTTGCCAGGATTGTACATGCTTCTAAAATAAGTTTCCTTGTAATTCCCCTTTATTCCCTCCTCAAAAGGAATATAAAAGTATATAAAATATTTACTCACATTCTGTTCACAGAAGGATCTAAGAAGGCAGACTTAACTTACAAAATATATACACTTGGAATCTATCCCATAAGGGGATAGTTCCTTTGTCCTGTCTTGGCTAGAAGCCAAGACAGCATCTCAGGCTGATGCTTCTTCGATGAAAGCAAAATGGAAAAGAGGGAGATGTACTTTCCAGTCCTGTACTTTTGTTACCTGCACAGGTGAAGTCACGCCCACCTCTGGCCACATGTAGAGGAAGTTTGTCCCAGCCCAGGAGGAAACAGTAAGTCTATCTACTGGCTGAACAATCATCCCTCCCCATGTCTAAACATGT